GGCTTTTACGGAATAACAATGTATTCTACTTTTGTATATGGTGTATCTAGGGGGCAGAACGGAAGATACCCCAATTTTGTTTGGACAGCATTTTTGAAACACTATGTACAGGTGTCATCCCAAGGAGATGAAGTTTCCGGGGCCAGGGCTGGATTTGTACCCCTCTACGTCCCCATACGTCCCCATAGGCTTAGTATCACACTAACAAAGCTTAAAGACTCAACTCACCCACTCAGAATTGATGACCACATGAGTTGAGGAGACTGTAGCCCTTTCTTCTTGGGTATCGGTGTGCGAGGAGCAATGAGTAGCCGAGATTCTTGCAGCTTTCGAGAATCCATTTATATATTTGAAAGAAAGATCCAAATGAAACCAATACACTTTGTGGGGTTTTGGGGCTCAGCCTTCTTCAGGGTTTTAGGAGAAGCAGAAGAGACCTATGACGATTGTCTCTCCCGTTCCATTGTGCGATAAACTCACACTTCTTCATAAAGGGTCTGTTGAAGGTCCCTTCCGAGAGCTACAACTAGATGGTTCTAAGACTAAAGTGCCACGCCACTTATTATTATGGGTATTAGTCCAGATATGGATCTATTCCCATCCAGTAGAAGGCTACACGTTAGAGCCAACGCCTTTACGGAGCCATAACTCACCCACGTCATCAGGGCTACAACAATACAACGAAAAGGGACTATAAACCCGTGGTGTGGTACTTCGATCTCAGATCCATTTAGTTACATCTAACACCAAGGACACCGTGGAGATCTTTACGCGTGTAGAAGCCACCAGCCCAGAATCCAGACACCCTGTTCAAACAACACCGAAACACTATTGCATAGTGCCACCAATAGGACAATTGTAGGGTTCCATAGCTACCTATCCATTCATCCGACCTTCCAAGACTTGAGCAGCCTCAGATACAGCCCAGGTGTGAAAATTTGGGGGAAAAGAAAAACCCCTCATTTAGCTCAGCCCTCTTCCAAGCACAGGGCATGGCGCCTGTACTTCATTCCCGCTCTTTATAACATTTAAAGGTCCTCTTAGCCCTCAAATCTCCTCATAGGACACATATAGAGCCATCACTGGAGGCATTCAGTCACA